CTTGAAGCTACCAAGTACAGCCCAGAACTAACTGCTGGTTGTGAGGTATAGAAGGAGATCATATTGGAATTCGAAGCAATGGATGTTTTGTAATCCAGTGATTCATGTTCGTTCCTCCATTAACTGACGACTTTTGATAATAGCTTGGGCCTTGATGTTACTACTGTCAAGTCTCATGGTGAGGTCTCGGACTCTATTCTCATCAAAGAATAAGGGCTCAAATCCCCACTGACTTACCATGTTCATTTATGGATAACATGTTTAGAGAGCCCATGGTAAAATGAGTTCTGCTCTGAACTCTTTAATATGCTTTGTCATTTGAAAATCGTGTGGCTTCTGTTATTTGTTGACTTTGAAAATATGGATGGTTCGAGAATGCCCTGGGCCTTGACAGTAGTATTGTCGAGCCCCATGGTCTCCAACTGCATTCTCACCAACCAATGGGTAGAGGCTCAAATCCCTACTAGTCGGTAAAAAATTGAAAAAACAACAAAAATATAAATGAATTCGTACTAATTGGATGGGATCACTATGATAAAATTTGAATGGGTTCCCTAAGATAAATCAAGACTATCGATTTTGATCCTATTCACATTTGTATGTCGTATACCTTGAAGCTACCAAGTACAGCCCAGAGCTAACTGCTGGTTGTGAGGTATAGAAGGAGATCATATTCGAATTCGAAGCAATGGATGTTTTGTAATCCAGTGATTCATGTTCGTTCCTCCATTAACTTACCACTTTTGATAATAGCCTGGGCCTTGATGTTACTATTGTCAAGTCTTATGGTGAGGTCTCGGGCTCCATTCTCATCAACGAATAATGGCTCAAATCCCCACTGACTTACCACAATTTTTTTTAGAAAAAAAGCCTAGACTTAATTGTTTAGCACTTGACCATGTACAACGCTACATCCTAGGCTCAATTTCTACCCACGGTAGGGGGTTCTCTCCCCATTGCCCAAAAAAACAAAAAACAAAAAAAGAAAAGAAAAGAAAATATGAATGGTTCACAACCCAAGTGTGAGTCCAGTTCTCTTGAGGATTGGTAATTATTAAAACTGCAAACCCGTTATCATATAGATTACCCACGGTAAGAGTGCTTTGTTATGTCCTCATACATGCTTTCTTATTATGAAAATCTTACTGTTTTAGGGTTTTTTTGTTTCAATAATTGGATTCACTGCCCAACTGTGAATCCTTTGAGAAAACAAATGCTAGCATAATAACTCAGCACAGATTGTAAGTACAGGGGTGTGCGTTACATTGCCTAACCATGGGGCCACAGCAATGGTTTCTTTTCTTGAGAAGATTTTTAATGGAGGAAATCATCTCTGTTTTAGTATTTCTTTTTCCACGAAATGGAAGAAGATGTTCAGTTACCAGTTCCGAAACCACACTTTTAAAGGATGGCTAAAATAACAAGCATATGTTCTAGCACTTCTGCTCCATAGTTGCATTGTCGACATCCATTAGGAGTCTTAATGGATTCTAGATATTTCAAAATAAAGTGCAATTACTCACTTTTGTGCGGTTTTATGTCAGAGGTTAGGAGCATGCTTAACGTTTATCTGATCTTTTTCTTTTTTGAAATTATTGAAATATGAATATCTTTCGTCTCTGGTTAAGTTGAAAGCTGCATAAATTTGGTAACGGTTTCGAGGATGGGGATTATTCTCCAATTTATGAAGTGTATTTTTCCAGGGTTCCAATATGGGTTTCAATCCCTGAATAACTTGAGTTGCTTGCTATGGTTTCACATGACTTTCATTTCCAAGTTAATTTCTTCGTAAATGGTAAATAAAAATAAAAATCTTCTATATTTTCAGAGGCTCAATGATCCGACCATGCAAGAATCATTCGAATCCATATTCCTAAGGATAATCCCAAGAACACTAAATTCGTGATAAATTTCTTTATTTCTTATCGGTCTTGGTGGCATCACAGAGAGCTTACGGAGTATTTGAAGAACATGGATCGCCTTATAATGCAGCACCACAAACCAGTATCAGAATTCGACACGACTGGCTCTTCTGATGATGGGTCTGAGAGTTCAAGTTCAATAGATTATTCAGACTCCGAGTCGAGTTCTAAAAGTGACAGAGATCAGAGATATCGAAAGCGGAGCAAGCACCGATAAAAGCCTCGAGTGAAGTTCATTTGTTTTTTCTGATGAGCTCCCATCGAAATATTTACGAGTTGAGATTTTGAGACGTGTTCATTTGCCTAACGAATTTGATTTTTGGAGAGAAAATTTTGATTTCCCCGGACTAATATCTGCAAGATTAAAATAGAAAAAAATTTATCCTCGAAAAAGTTTAGTTCCTAGAAATCACCCAAGCTATATCCTTCAAAACAACATTAATGAGTGGAGATAAGCTTTGACAAATTTTCAACATCCAAAAATTGAAAAGGCTTTGTCTTTAAGAGGTACTGGAATTTTGCACAGTACTTAAGAAATTACTCAAAAGGGAGGGATATGGTTTTCGTGAGTCACACACCTATTACCATGTGGTCCCTTGTCTATCAAACGTCCATCTTTAACATGGATGTCTAAAAGTATTACATCCAGTAAAAGTTAAAGGGTGCGGTTTGTATAGAGCCGATATCTAAACAATCAAATTAGAGCCCACCTTTAAAATATATTTTTAATATTATAAATCTTTGTGATAGTCTTAAATTATAGTTTCATCTTTAATTATAAAATGTGAAGCTTAAAAATAGTATATAACGAGCAGATCTATGAGAACTTGAAAATCTTGAAAATTTACGGTCCAAAAATGCATTACAATGTGTACCATTTACCAAACTTGAAATGCATTTTTTTCTCATATTTATGCATCTTGATGTCGAGATAATCAATTTGAGGATATTTTGGCATCAAAACAACCTCTTCTAGCAAACGTTTTTAGGTAGGCTCTAATTTGATTGTTTAGAGCCTAGGCTCTATAAAAACTTTTTCCAAAGTTAAAATGGACCGGTGGTGAAAGGAATTCAAAAAAACAATATTTATAAATTTTAAAAGAGAAAAATTCTAAATTTAGATCATTGTAATAGTTGAGATGATCGAACTTCAGAATTTTAGATTGAAAATATATATTTGAGATATATTTTGGAGGGAGACCGTATAATAATAGGTGAATGGGCTGACTCACCAAATACTTTTCCCTCGAGGGAAAAGTAATTTGTGAGGCTCCTCAGCCTAAAATTCGTGGCTTTTGCCGTATATCCATATTTTGGATAAATGAGGATCCATACTACAAATTCATCCTTGTCGCCCCTAAGATCAATTTTTCAAAACAATGCATCTCGAGTCCTAAAAAGTTTTCTTGAATGTCATATCAAATTCAACAGGGATTGCCCATTTCAATGCCCACTAGATCAACCAGATTTGTACTATCATGGGAGCTCCATATCCAATTTTTTTTGGAGCAGAAATGGATATACATAGATTTTTACAACTTTTGGGGTCCTCAATTAATAAATTGATGAATTGTTGGGACAAATTTAAAAGCTATTTTGCATACATAAATTAAGGATTGTATATTATAAGATCATTTACTTATGATACAAGGAGTCACAATTATTACTGACAGTTGGATGTGAAATCGGTTGGTTGAGAATATGTCATTGATTGGTACAACGTTCAAAATAAAATTTTTTAAATGTTGTGACACACTTCAATCTATTGGTTTATGCATCCAATGGCTAAAAATAATTGTGACCTTATATCAAAAGTAAATGGCCTCAATATATATTTTCCTATACGAACAAGTTTATATAAACCCTAGGCTCTAAACAATCAAATTAGAGCCAACCTCAAAACTTTCACTAGAAGAGGTTGTTTTGATGCTAAATATCATCAAATTGATCATTTCGACATCAAGATGCATGGACATGAGAAAAAAAAAAAAAGATTTAAAGTTTTAGAACTGGTACATCTTGTAACACATTTTTGGACCGTTAATTTTCAAGATTTTCTAAGTTTTTATAGATCTGCTCTATCTACACTATTTTTGAAGCTTGAAATTTTATAACAAAACATAATTTAAGGTTATCACAAAATTTTCTAGAATTAAAACCATATTTCTTGACACTATTTGAAGGTGGACTCTAATTTGATTGTTTAGAGCATCGGCTCTATACAAACCGCACCCCTATATATATATATGTATATATATATATATATATATATATATATATATGAAAAAGTTTATATAAGGTATCAAACTTATACGGTTTGAGTAAGCTACACCTAAAACCCTATTGAAGAAGGTTGTTCATATGCAAAAAAAAACCATCAAATCAATCATCTCCACCTCAAGATTCATAGACATGAGAAAAAGGGATTTCAGCCCTAAAAATAGTTCATCATCTACCACATTGTTTGGACTATCCGTTTTCACGATTTTCAAGTTTTTATAGACCTATTTGATTATCACAATTTCTAGAACTTTAAATTTCATAATTGGAGGCAACAATAGATTTTCACATCACCGCAACGCTTTAGGCACTGAAACTACATAATTAACATAGTTTTGAGTTGCAACCTACTTTAATAGTATAAGGTTGACACCTTATATAAACCTCACCCATATATGCATAGAGATTGTCGATCATTTATCTTTGGTAATAGTTTATATAGAGCTGAGATTCTAAACAATCAAATTAGAGCCCACCTCAAAAATTTCACTAGAGGTTGTTTTGATGCTCAAATATCTTCAAAGTGATCATCTCCACATCAAGATGCATGGACTTATGAAAAAATTGGATTTCAAGTTTTGAAAATAGTGCATTTAGTAAAGTATTTTTAGAACGTCAATTTTCAAGATTTGTAAGTTTTCATAGATATGCTCGAGCTACATTATTTGTTGGGCTTTAAATTTTATAATGAAAGATGAAAATATGTTTTAAGGCTATCTATTTGATGGTAGGCTCTAATTTGATTGTCTATATGAACTGTTTCCACACACTCTTATTATGAGGTCAAAGCCATGACTTTTGGAGGGAAAGAAAGAAAATTTGTTCTATTTCCTTCGATCTCTCCCCTTACATAGATCATCAAAGAGAAGTAACCGTCCGCCCCGCCCCATTCTTCTATATGTGGTGCACTTGCTTTTAAATCATTCTCACTCGAGAACAAAACCCAAACCCAACAATCCTTATACCTCAATTCATAAGTTTTTTCTGGTAAAATCTTTCGCATTCGAGGTACTCAAACCTCAGAACCCCTAAAACCCTGATCTCCCTCTCTGTTCAATGAGGAAAATCAAAACACTACATTTCCTGACCTGCAAATCCTCACTTTTCTCTCCCATAGAACCTCTCACAAAGCAACCCCACCATTGTTATACGCAGAGGTTCTCCTATGTCGAGGTCAAAATGAAATGGAAAAAGGACCGGTATTTAGACTCTCTTCCTGTCTTGGATAAAATCCATGATCTGAAAGCAATATTCGCTGTGAAAGACTATATCATAAAAGAACCAGATTTTTGCATCCCAATCTCCTGCATTTCAAAAAAGAACTTTGAATTAGGAATACCCATCAGAGTTGCAACCTTTCTCAGGAAATACCCAACTATTTTTAAGGAAGTTACAGGTGAAAAATACAATCTCCCATGGTTTAGGTTGACCCAAGAAGCGATAGATCTCGACAGTGAAGAACAGGCAGTGTATCAGAATCATCTGTCAGATTTCATCGACAGGCTGAAGAAGCTCCTGTTCATGACCAAAGAGAAAAGGCTTCCTTTACAAATAATCGAAGGTATGAGGTGGTATTTGGGTTTACCCAAGGAATATTTGAAGGTTTTAAAGATTAATTCCAGTGGGTCTTTCTCTCTCTATGATATGGTAGATGGGAAGCAGGGTCTAAGCTTGAATTGTGAAGCACTGGAGGTACCCATTTCTTTTATTCAGCAAAAATCTATGAGAGAAGGGAGTTACAGAGAAGGTGGGCCAATTGCTTTCTCTCTGTACCCCTCAAAAGGGCTTCGATTAAAGCGAAAAATTGAAAATTGGGTTGAAGAATTGCAGAATCTTCCCTATATATCTCCATATGAAGACCCCTCTGATTTGAATCCAAACAGTGATATTTCAGAGAAGAGAGTTGTTGGGGTTTTGCATGAATTGCTAGGCCTTTTTGTGGAAAATTTAGGAGAGAGGAAGAAATTGCTTTTTCTGAAGAAGCAGTTGGGCTTGCCCCAAAAGTTTCATAAGGCATTTGAACGCCATCCTCATATATTCTACTTGTCTCTGAGAAACAAGACTTGCCATGTGATTTTGAAGGAGGCATACAATAAGGATTCTATGATAGAGAAACACCCAATTTTAGGAGTGAGAAAGAAGTTCATGAAGTTGATGGACGAGTCTAAGACTGTGATAGTAAGCAAGCGGCACAAAAAACCAGCAGAATCTGATGATGAGAAAGATGAGAGGTGTAATGGAGATTTACCTGCTGAGTGGGAGAGTGGAGAAGAGGAAGAAAATCTCATCTGACTGTTGTTGCCCATTATAATACCTACCCATATATACATTTCCATATACTCATGAAACCAATTTCTGTGACTACAGTGTGTTTGTGTGTGTATGAGAGAGAGATACAAATATCGTTGAATGTTTGTGTTGCGTCAGAGCGAGAGAACCTTGTCACTTCGGTGCTTGACTCCTGTCTATATCGAGTTGCTTTGAGTGGCAACATTCTATGTTTTGACTGGTAATATCAGGATTGGACTAGCCACCTGGAAGTAAAGGAATTGGTCCAGTCAAAATTGATCAAACTATCGAACTAACTCATCACCCGGCGTTTGATTCACCCGGTGTTTGTTGGGTTTGTTTCCATAATCTGATTAATTCTTGTTCCATTCTCTGTCACTATCTCTCGTATTTCTATCTCTTGAAGTTCTGTTATCCTCATTTTGTTTGGTTCTTTGAATTGTATTATTGTGTATCTGAGATTGGCTCATCTGTTCTCTCCATATATTTTTTCATATTCCTTTTTTCTTTTATGTTTTTTCTTTTTATTTATTTATCCTTATTATGGTGTCTATATCTTTTATTAAATGCCTGTCACTCCCACTCATGTTTCAGATTTTACTAAATTCTCTTAATTTATTGCTTTTTCTAATTAATTTCATGTTTCCTGGCTTTAATTCTATTTTTGCAGTCTGTGGCTTTTCCACTGCTCCCCTGTTTATGATCGCTGGAATTTGGTTCGTGGTATTTGGGGTGGTCCTCTCTCACTTGTTGCTGCGACTGTTGCTGCCCCTAAGAATTCCAAACTACTCAAGAGTTGCCTATGCATTATCTCCCATTTTTCTCATACTTTTCACCTGTGCTGCCATGTAATCTCTCTCTCTCTCTCTCTCTCT